ATATATATATATATATATATATATATATATATATATATATACGTAACTTATATATAAATGTACACATACAAGCAAAAATTTGGACATATTGTATATATGTCCAAATACTGTCAACTTTATATATAAACGAAATGAACTTATAAAAACAAAAGCAAAATAATCTTCTTTTTTCTTTTACTAACTAAAATATTGCCACATTTTTTTAGCTATTACTTTGTAATGCTTCATTAAAACATTAAAAACAAAGAATTTTTTCAATTTTATGAAAAAATGATAAATAATTGATTCTTTTAAATCAAGATAAATTTAAAATTTCATTAGATTGATAATTGAAAGAAACATTTTTTTAGCTTAATAAAAAATTGAAAGACATTACATATTAATCGGTGGGATGACTCGTTTGCATCCTTATATACATGTCTTTATTCGCACTAGTTTTATGCTTTTGTAAATATTATTTATTTTTAACGATTTTAAATTGAATAAAAATAAGTCTATAAAAATTTAAATTAAATTGAATTATTCAATTCAACTCAATTAAAAAAAACTTATAATATTTTTTTTTCTTTTGATAGGTTTTGCTTCATAATATTGTAACTTTTTCGTGTTTTCATCAAGCTTTCATAAAAATATGTTTTGTTTTTCATACATATAGTAGTATGGCAAGATTCTTATATTAAGATCTAATCTAACGCTTCTAGAGAAAATTATAGCTTTTCTTTTTTGTGTGCATAAAAACACTCTCTATGTCTTTTTGTATTTTTTCTTTTTTTTTTTTTGTATCATGTACATACATATATGGCACACTTTTTAAAGATAAGATTTACATATATATTCAAAAACAATACCTGATATACAGGTAATAAAAACTGTGCATTTTATTGAAAAATTTACATAACTGTCACAGTTTTTGCTATTGTACTAGGACATAGAGAGTTAGCAGAATCACGGATAATTGTTTATTATCGTAGAAAATTTACTAAAATGGAAATTAAGAAAAGCGATTGAATCAACTCCTCTTGGCTAAGAGTGTTCCATATAATTTGTCAGTTTTGTTACCTCTTAATTGAGGTCTTCCCCTGCTCTCAGAAATCTTTAACGTGTCCCAAAAAGCTGAGATCATGCGTTTGATAATGGCTGGATGTAGCAAGTGGCGTGACACTTGACTGATGCGCTGCATTAACGGCTGTCAAATGATGATGATGCAATGAATGATGTGAAGTATGTGAATGAAGAATATTATTTGGATGGGGAACTTGGAAGTTCCCTGGTGGCGGGGCTCAGGATAGGAGAGGTCCTGGATGTCCACCAGAAAGAACAGATGATGCTGTAACAGCTGTGGTTTGCATATTTGAAACATTATTTTGTTGTTGATTTTGTTGTGTACCTAAAGACAGAAAAATATTCTTATTATAATAAAAGAAATTTTATTAGTTTTATTATTTATTTTTTTATTATTAAATAGATAAAAATCATCAAAATTCTTACCAGCATTTTGACTGAGTTCAGCTTTTACTCTTCTTGCAATATGGCTTCTGGTATGTTTTCTTAAATGATCTTTACGATAAAAGCCTTTGCCACATTCTGTGCATACATGTCGTTTCTCACCCGAATGTATAACAAAATGTAATGTTAACTGCTCTTTTCTTTTGAAAGCTTTTAAACAAACAGTACAAACGTATGGACGTTCAGGATTATGACTCTGTTTATGACGTGTAAGATGATCTTTTCTTTTGAGACCTGCGCCACAAATATCGCAAACGAATCTTCGTTCTAAAGTATGTCCTAGAAGATGTTGCTCCAATAATTCACGTTCTGGGTATGCCATATGACACTCTGGGCAGCAATATAATGTAGAGCCATCTAGAGCTGTAGTTAAACGAATTTCTCCAGGTTTTGGTCGTGGCTTTTTTTCTTTAGGAGCCTTCTTCTTTTTTTTCTTTTTATTATTTGGAGACATCATTATATTAGGTGTTGTTGTAGTTGCTACAGCTACTGAAGTAGTTTGTGCCATTTCTGATTCTTTTTTAATACTCTCAGCAGAATATTTTAAGAAATGATGTAAACTTAATGGTAAAGTACTAGCTGGTAAATGACTGAGGTAATCTGCCACTGTAGATCCAGGAGTAGCCAAAGATTGCCATGTAGCAGGCATAGTTGCAGGAGTTTGAGTATGAGCATGCTGTTGATGATGTTGATGCATTGTATAATCTTGTTGACTACCATTTGTTGTTGTTTCTCCATTGCGCTGTTGCTCATCTGCTTTCTTCTCCTTAGTTTTATCTTTATCCTGTAGGAGATTGCAAACATCTTGTTGATTTATTGTTTCTGTTGCTTGCTGAAAAGTTTTAATTTTCTATAAAGTACTTCTACACGCAACACTGTAAAATAGTGTCAAAGAGCTTACTTGATGATACGACCGTTTCTCTGGCATTCCAGGCGAATTAGAGGGCCGCTGTTGAACTGGTTGAGCTTGGGAATATGGTACATTTGGATAATGATGAACATTGCTGTTGGGATAATTTGCTTTATTGTTCATCATCACTTGTGACTGAGCAGATTGAACGCCGTTGCTTTCAGGACGGTACTTTCCCATAACCGGCACTCCAATTGGAGGCTGGTTGGGAAAATGATTAGCGTAACGTCCGCCCGCACCGCCGGAGCCGTCGGTTGCGAACTGGTGAATACTCGGAATAGTACCGGGAAAATGGCTTCCGAACGGCGGGAAATTCATTGCAAACCGTCAATCAAATATCTGAAAAATTGTAAAAAATCAAATTTGATTTAATTATATGTATTAATATTTTATAGAATACAAATTACAAAGTAGATTAAAGACCAATATCCTTTCCAAAATTTATGAGTATATTATTGCTAATACACAAATAAATGTTGAATAAATTGTAAATGTCAACTAGTGACATATGTATATGAAATACATTGTAATTGCCTAAATAAAAATATTGCCATCATCCAAGGGAAAAAATCGAAGATATGAAAATAATTTCTTGAAGACATTAGAAAAAATAACGAAAGAGATATTTCGCAAAGATATGACACACCGAACGAAGATATCTGGCGCGTCGTGCTTGACGCCCGAGTATTTACTCACAGCGACGTCCCTCTCCCCATGTTTCTTCGCTGTGGAATCGAATCCTTTCCTCGGAGGGGGGTCTCCGAGAGGTGAGAGTGAGCGTAGGGGCAGATTTTTACAACACGAGAGACACAAGAAGCAAGAACACCACGCCACCGTCGTTGCTGCGTCAGCCGTCTGTCACGAGGAAGTACACACGGGAAACGGTCGCGTTTCCCTTTTTACACGGCACGAGTGTTACACTAAAACGTAAATCTTCACAGAAAATACCGCGAAATTGCACACCTTCGTATCACAAGGATTACAAACGGTTTACTGATTATAGAAAAGGGTACAATAGGGAAAAAAAGACGTTAAAAAACGAATATTGTAAGCGGCCAGGATCGTTGCGATGCGGGGGAAGGTGGCTATAGAGGGACGACGACGCGGAGAACGGGAATCAGAGGATGGGAAGAATGAAGGAGAACGGGGAAAGACGCAGGGGGGATGATCTGGTCAGAGGGATGGGTAGTATACGTGGGATGGAGTGTGAGGGGAGAGACAGACTTTCCCCTCTCGGCACCTAGTCGATACGCAGAGGCCGAATTCGCACGAAATTCAGTAGAAAATGGCCGTATTGAATACGGAACATCACGAACGTTAGTTAACTAATTCAAAAAATTTATTATAAAATCACCTTACCATTTAGTACTTAGCAGCTTTTGCTCGCCTGGTCAAGATTTTCACGAAGCCGAGAATCTCCGAAAAAGATCCCCCGCTCTATGTGTGTGCCGTTGACACCTGTCCCTCAAGTCGGTGCCCCCACCCCATCCGTCCGCCCTCTACTGTGCCAGCCTCTTAACTATTTTTTCTCTCTCCCGGTCCTCCTCGCAACCGCGCCGGCGAAAATGCCCGAATCCATCGGGGTTTTAACTTCGAATTGCTCTCGGCGACTTGCCATTATTTTCTCTCTCTCAGTGCATAAGAGTAAGAAGAAGTTAGAGATATAGCCACGGGCTCGAAAATATCACCAATCAGAAGGAGTAAAGTATAAAACGAAATTTAACGAGTTATATATCATAATATATAATCATATAATTTTATATTTTTGTTAAATTAACAATTAATCATTAATCTTTAATAATAGTTATTGTAGAATATAAAATCACATATGAAAATTTTTAATGAAATATAGAATAAAAAAATTATTGTAACGAATAATTTATTTGTAAATGAATAGAAGATTTTATTAATAAAATTGGAATTTAATATATAGTAAACATAAAGAAAATATATCCTTATACCCATTAATAGAATAATATCAATACAAATATACAAATGATCTAAAAAATTATCAATTCCCCTGTATATGCATTTATCGGTTAATAGTTTGTTTATTTAAAATGCGTCAATATATTTTAAATATTAACATTTTATAATCAATAATTGACAAATTAAAAATATGGAATCAATAGTACAAACAAGTTTATAATTGGTTAATCAAGAAAAATTTGTTATATTAAATGTATGTTTTATTTTAGCTATTTTCTCCAATATTTATGTAAGTAACAATGAAAATGACTTATAGACTATTTATACTGATTATGATAATAGCTATAATAATATGATAATAAAATAATAATTATATTTCTTGTACAGCTATACCCACTGCCTTTAATAATGATACTTACAATAAAAAGTATTTTTTTTTTTGTATACATACAAGTTTTCCTCAAATGATTTTGAGTGTATCATAATTAATTAATAAATCAAAAGGATTCATTTTCAACAACTTTTTGCTGTATTTTTGTCGTGCATGTATTATGTATATTGTATTATGATAATACAAGAAATTTTTTCAAGTACGACCAACATACAGAAGATTATAATATCTTCTCATAAAAATGATCAGTTTAGTAAGTAAAACAAGTTAAATACTATACAAAATAAGTTATACTAACTTATTAAAATTTCTAGAAATATTATAGTGGCTATAGAAATGCTCTTTTCTTTAAATTTAAATACAAGATTTAATAGCCAATTGTATTTCATGATAACCTTAAATTTGCAATACTAATTCAGAAATAACGACATATTAATATTTAATTAATTATTTTTAAACTTTTGTAATAAATCTATTTTTCTTAGATTGATTTATATTAATAAAGCCAAAAATATATATTCTTTTTTATAAAAGTAAACGTTAATTAATCAATATGTAGATACAAATATAAAACTTTACATTTATCTAGCAAAACGCAGTATTTTTTAAAATATTAGTCATCATTTGATGGTTTTTATGATATCTTATATTATGTATCTCGATTATGTAGAGAACAAGTGGAATAAATAAATGGACTCGCTTTGTATTTGCACGACAATTTTTTTCCCTCCTTGTGCACAATAAATTGGTTGTATTTACATCTTGCTTTGTGTATTATTTTTTCGCATTACGTATTTTCTTTCTTTTCTTATATTTATGATAAAAAAAAAGAAGAAAGGAAAATTAACTTTAGCCGAAAACTCGATTGCCTTCTATGTGACGAATCCAGTTCGCGCTTTCAAAAATAATATTTTTATTATTTATTTATATATATATATATATATATGTATATGTATATATAAACTTCTTTATTTAATTCTAACTTGCGTCATGGAACTGGATTAGCGACAAAAACATTTCAAATCAAACGAGCAAATAAACTCGTTTTTATCATTTTTTTTTTGTTTTCTCACACGTACGCTATAACGTGTACGCAAAAATGAAACTTCGTATATACGAACTTCGTTCGTCAGTCAGCTCAGTGCGTTTTGCAGAATAATTTTAATCATACATTAATCTGGTCTATAACTTCCTTAAGAAGCTGATGGTGTACAAACTTTGAAATGCGACGACTCGTCAGTAAAAGTATCTTTATTTGAAGATACAGACAATGTCTCAATTTTGCAACACCACTACTAGGCAACGATAATCACCATCAACAAATTTTTTTTACACGATACCAATTTAACTATGAGATTATAGAACTTAATCGGCAAGAACACCTTGCCTTGCACGACCTCTGGCTTGCTGATGATTGAATCGGAAGAACCGCCCAGGTTGATTCGGGGCGGTATGCTGTTGCTAATGTTGTTGTTGCTGCTGCTGTTGCTGCTGTTGTTGTTGCTGTTGTTGTTGCTGTTGTTGTTGTTGTTGCTGCTGCTGCTGCTGCTGCTGTTGTTGTTGTTGCTGCTGCTGCTGCTGTTGATGATGAAGCATAGCCATTGCACCAGTTTCAGCAGCAGTTGGAAGAACAACTGTAGACTGTTCACTAACAGCTATTTGATGAATCTGTGCCTGAGATCCTTGGCCTACTTGTATTTGAATTTGTTGCAATTCAGATACTGATGATTGTTGTTGTAATTGATCTGCTTGTTGTTGTAATTGTTCTGCCTGTTGTTGTTGGTCCGTTTGTTGTTGTGAATTTTGAGAAGTATCAGCAATGTTCGAAGGATCTTCTTTAATACGTTTTGCTAAATGAGATCTAGCATGTTTTCTCAAGTGATCTTTACGATAAAATGCTTTACCGCATTCAGTACAAACTTCAGTTTTTTGTCCAGAATGTATAACGAAATGAAGATTCAAATGCTCCTTTCGTTTGAAACCCTTCATACAAACTGAACAAATGAAAGGTCTATCTGGATTGTGACCCAATTTATGCCGTTCTAAATGTTCTTTCCGTTTTAAACCTGCACCACAAATGTCACAAATAAACCTTCTTTCTATTTTATGCCCAATAAGATGTTGTTCCAGAAGTTCTTTTTCAGGATAAGCCATATTACATTGGGGGCAACAAAATAATGTTGTGCCATCAAGAGCAGTAACTATGCTCACTTGACCTGGCTTTGGTTTTTTTGGCTTTGGAGGCTTCTTCTTGTACTTCTTTTTTCTCTTAGGTTTAGTACCAGGTTCCTGTTCTTCAACAACGTCAGGAATAATAGCAGTTTCTCCGCTTGCTACGGTAATCTGTACTGCTTGCTCACCAGATGCAGTACTTCCAGATGCGTCTAAGCCATCAGCTCCTAGAGGACTTGATTCAATAGTAGCTTCTCTCTTAATAGTTTCTGCCGAAAATTTCAAAAAATGCTGTAAACTAAGAGGCAAAGTACTAGCAGGTAATCTAGAGAGATAATCAGCAACAGTTGATCCTGGAGTTGCAAGACTTTGCCAACTTGCAGGCATAGATGTAATATATTCTTCTCCACTTTGATTTCCTTGATTTTTAATACTACCTCTTTTAATGAGAGCGACTGGTGTTGTACCTTCTTTCACATCTTCTTTTGATTCTTCCATACTCTCACGTAAAATCAAATCTTGTGGAATCTGTGCAACTACAGTTAATCCTTCAGGTGCTCCCGGAAGCTGTACTGTTTGTTGAATAGTTTGTTGGGATGTAGTAGTAACTGCTGTGGATGTACTTTGAGTTGTTTGATCAGATCTAAAATAAAAATATCTTTTATTAATTATTAATTAAAATAAAAATTGATATATTTTTTACAATATATTATACATATTAAAATTATTCTAAATAATACGATTCTTACGTTTGTGTCGTTGCCACTGTGTTTTGTGGTTGCACTTGAATCTGTACTCCATCTGCACCTTGTTGACTGTACGCAACAGTAAGAACTGTTGCGGCACCTTGGGGAAATTGTCCCAAAGATATAGGAGCCAAATGATACTTTGGCTGATCACCGCTGTTTCCACTTTGCGATACGCTAGGATTAACCACCTGGATTTGGACGGTTTGTTGCTGTTGCGTACCATCTTTTCCAGGTACAGTAATTGGCAGCGTAATAATTTGCTGCTGTTGATTATTACCCCCTTGAGCCACTGCGAACCCGTTCGGATCGACCGGCCTCAGATAATGAACTCCACCTTCGCCGCCAGATAAAACACCAACCACCTGACCACCAGTAGGTAGGTTTTGCGCGAATTTTGCGGTTGCAAATTGATGAACGGTGCCCGTCGGTAGCGAGCCTGTCGTAAAGCCGGGAAAAGGCGTGAAATTCATCTTCTATGTTAATTAAATCTGAAAAACCAAACAGAATATAATTAATATTAGTATAATTAAATAAATATGAAATCTATTTAATTATTAAAATTATTTAGTAATTTCAAGGAATATACATCGAAATAATATTTTTCAATTATATAAATATTTAGATATGTTATCTATTTATCAATTATTAAATTTTTTTAGCAAATGTATATATATTTATATAATATATAAAATATATAATATTATATTATTATATTATATATAATATTAAAAAAATTTTATCTTTCCTAAATGAAACATATTTATGAATATTAATGAAAGAAATAAGATCAAATATTCGATAAAAGATACGTATTTACATATCATATTACATAACTCCACTCACTTTGATGCATGAGTATTGCTGTGCGAAGTGCATCGATCTTCGATACTTCAAATAATTTCAAAAGAGATTCGGTGTTTTCATAGAATTTACAGATATTCTCTAATTCCTTAATGTTTCTTCAGTAGATATGTTCCGAAGTAAAGTAAATACATCATGTTTGAACACGATCATGTTGCTAAATACGAAAAATAAGTTGCAAGTCAATAAATATATACAAAAATCAATTAATCTGAACATCATATTTCATATATTATATATTGAATTTGATTTTTTTCTTTTTTCACTTAATTTTATCTATCATATATATTTAATATTGATAACATTAAATTTATTATATTTTATTTTCTATTTGTTTCTCATATAATATTAGCTACAGGTGGTTGGAGAATTCGTACATGATTTCTATTAAAAATTTCCATTATATATAATCGTTACTGCATGTGAGATTTAAACAATAATCTCTGAAAAAAATTGTATATTTCTGATCATAACATATATCAAAATATATGTGGCAAGATCAAAGTTAAATGATATGTATTAAATAAGTGAATAACTAACACATATTTATTCTGTAAATATATATTGATTAATAATTGATTCTTTTCCTTAGTCTGCTCATATTTAAAATACTGCATTTCATAACAACATTTATTCGTGAAAGTTGATGAAGTTAAACATTGAGTATCCCGCCACCTTTACTTTCAGTCTTAACTTCAGACCTCTTGATCATGTGTTGGTATGTGGGGGTGGGGTGAGAGATCCCCCACTTCACCCCCTTCCCCACCTCAAAGGGATCTGGGAGCAGGGAGGATAGTCGTCGAAGTGGCCCAGGATTGCACCCCACTCCACCATGGTGCCCCCGGGGGTAGGGGGTAGGAGCTCTTGACAAGGGTAGGGGGGAACCCATAGGTGGGAAAACGGGAACCCACCGCGAAATAGAGCCCGAGACTCACTCTCTTTCTCACACTAATACACGGAATATCGCGAGAATAGGACGGGAAGGAACGATAGAACGATGTGTAGGTGCGTAAGCGTGTGCCGCAAGCTCGAAAGGGTAGGGGTATGTCAAGAAAGAAGGGAGACGATCCTCGACATACCGGGAACTCCCCGGGGAGGGGAACGCGAAATATCGGGAGAGAACATACGAAGCAGACATCGCGGCAGACGAAGTGGGACACACCGATGACTCTCGCCCTTGATCCATCCGTAGGTAGGGAAGGAGTAGAAAACGAGTGAGGGAGAGAGAGAAAGAGAAGAGGTTAGGTTACCCGTACACCTCTCCTCTTTTAGACGCACCGAGGAGGGTGCTGTGTCGAATGGACGATTATTCCGTGCCAGCAAGTCGTTGCGGGTGGTTGCACGGCTTAATAGGAAAAAAAAAAACTATTGTGAACACGCATAAACGAACGCACTGCGGATGCGTTTTTCGACTTTCGCGGAATGGCGTGTGCGACTGACCGGTCAGCCTTGCCGACGTACCGTTGTTGGATGCTTTTGCAAGACGCGCATGTCGTAATGGCGCCGATTCTCTTAAGGTTCAACATATCTCTCTCACACTATATAACCTTCTCTCTCTCGTATATATATCGAAGAGAGCATGTCTGAGCATTCGCGGTTTCTAGAGGAATTCTAGTGTCTCACATGTTATTGGGGGCAGCGTGCGTAGAATGGAACAGCTCTGGGGCATTGTGCAATCAGATATGCTTTTACATGCACCCAATATAACACGCATTTCTAAAAGATATAACGAAATAGAATAAAATTGAAATAGAGGAATATATTGTATATATAATTTTAAAGAATACCGAACAAGTAATTAATATCGAGCAAGTAACATAAAACAACATTGCGGTCATGTAAACATTAAAAGCGAGTATGTATGAATGGTAGTTAAATAAACGGGTAGACAAGGTTACACGTCATCACATTTGGTGATACATCGGCCATGATGGAATTGAGTACACGGTGACGCGAGAAAATAGCACAGGTCCGCGAAGCCGATGCTTTGTTCTCTCGATTATTCCCTCTCTCCCTTTCGCCCTGCGTCTCTCCCTCCCTTCGGTGCTCTTTCGATCGCGCATCGGGAGACGTTATGTGGAGAGGAAGTAGGAAAAAGATCGGGCGAGTTGGCAGAGGCGAGAGCAGGGCAGAGGCGAAACGGAGGACAGAGTAGAGCCAACAGAGGCACAGGCAGGGCTGTTGTTTACACCCCCACCTCGACGGGTTAGAGGCAGCGAGATGCCACGGAGGGGCCTCCGAGACCTCGGTGGGCACCCACCACCACGCAATTTCCAACCCCACCAGCCTCTCAACCACTGTCCGCACCTCCAACCACCCCACCAAAGCCAGCTCGAGCCAAGCCGTGAGCCACGACGAGGGCCCCGCGACGATTTTAGTGTCTTGGGGTGGGTGCTCTGTGGCCACCGTTTCGCGGTTTCTCGTGCACGTTTCGTATTAGAAGTAAAGCGCGTAAAGATTCGTGGGGCGGCATTATCCGCGGATTCTTTCAATTCGGTCTAGTTTATGTACGAACGGGTGTACGCGAGTTCCCTACGTATAAGACAATCATTCACGAGGAAATGCGTGTCCTACTTACCCACGAGCAGCTGTGGCTCTCCTTGTGCACTCCTTTCGGCGTACTGCTACTACTGTCGCTGCGTCGGAAGCTTTGCGTAGTACAGAGACCGTCCGCCTGGCTGGCTCGCCTGCGTCGTTCTCAATCTTCACTACGGTGGCAGCAACTTTCTCATTTCTACGTATATGTTCGCTGTGCCACGGCTTTCTGGCTAGCCACGGCTACTACTTACGGTGTACACGTCATACGAGACGTACATTCAAATGTACGTGTTTTTGATGATCGACGAGTCGTGACTCGTGATAAATTCGCGCACTACTGCCAGTCTTTCGATAACGGTGAGCCGCGACGCGCACTCATTTCCGGGTTTACAACAGTCGAGTTCGATCGAGTATGGCCCCAGTCGGTAGGTAAGCGTGGGTCTTGGGCCGGCCAACGGGGAATGAATTCGAGCTAACGGTACATAGCCACCCGACGGTGGCCACACGTTAACTCGAAGCGCCGCAATGCCAGGCCACTCTCCTAAAAACCACGAGCTGTGAAAGTAGACACCCTCCTTCTTACAGATCCCAACTTTATCTTGAATGACCTCGTCTCACCGCCCTCGTCGAACGCATTCTTGTTTTCCAGTTAGTAAATAAAAATACGTTTAACCGCGAAAACTTACGCTGCTATTAATATTCTATCGGAGAAATATCAACTATGGCGGCGGTTACGCGCGGAGTATATTGTGAGAGCGAGGGGAAAGCGGCGCGTGCGCGCTTCTCGATTAAACAGTCAACTCTTATAGTATTGTTCTATTTACAGGTATTATAATTATTTTTGCAATTTTACAAGAATCGCGAATTTTCGAAAAAAATTTACTATAGTGCAAAAAACACCTGTCCGCTATTCTATCTCACTCTCAGTTACTTCGTTCCTTTACCACTACAAAGCGACACTAACTCTGTGCGCACCTAGCGGAGACTGAAGTGAGGTTAGGTCGAGAATCGATATTTTGAAGATATTTCGATAGCCGCCATATTTTCATGTTATTGCGCGCGTTATATGAAGAATTTATTGTAAAGTCATCATTTTTTTCGATTTTGTGTTTTTTTATTGTAAGTGAATATATATATTTATGATGTGATATAATAAAAATAAATAAAAACATTTAATGCTTTTTATTCCTTTTATAATCTTTTTTTATTATAAATATGCTATTCCATGCTTTCACAGTCTCAAAATACTTTGCAATCTAATAAATGTTCATAATAAAAATATAATAGATCAACGACACGTCACTTATGTAGAATCAGCAATTTAATATAATATTGATATATTATACTATAACAATAATGAAATAATTATTCAAAGCATAAACATAACCATAATAATATAAATTTTAATTCTATTTGTCTAACTGTGAATTATCATGTGACAAAAAATTTTAAATATTTAATTTTCTTTTTATATATACAATTTCATTTATATAATAAATAATAAATTGTTGTTAAAGATCTTCAGGACTTTTTAAAATTTTTAATGATTTAATTAATAAAATTGTATTGAAAAGGAATGAAACAAATGACATGCAAGAAATGCTTAATGATTAGGAATTATAATTTGAAAATAGAGATATCAAAATGAATCAGATGTTCTCTGTATACGTTCCATGTATAAAGAAAATAGTAGCTTATTACTTTCATAATAAAATGGATTTTCAATAGCATCTAAATCAGGTTTATATTCTGCTATGTAACTACTTTGGCTAGAGCTATATCCATCGTACAATGGTGATCCTTGAGAAAGTTCTGAATAATTTGGAGAAGGCATAAAACTCCTATTGCAACAATCTGTTTCCATGTTTTCAGACACATTTTCTTGCATGCCTGATAGACCATTAATATGAAGATTATTAATTCTTTTACTTAATGGCATAAATTCACTAGATTCTTCTTCTGCATCGCGCCCTCTCTTTCTAAATATTATAAATAAAAATGAATTAATGAAATGAAATTTTATTATTACATGAAAGAATTGTGTCATTCCACACACACATCAATAAAAACTAACCTGTTAGCCCGAGTCATTCTTGAGTAAATTTTAACTTTTAGTAGAAGATTTTATTATAAGTATATTCTTAACCACTGCATATTATAATATTTGTAACTTTTCTCTGCCGAAACAATTAATGTTGTATATTGTTCAGCCGTGCACGTCATATACGTTTGTCAAGAAAACAAATCTTGATTACACAAATCGACAATATACATATTCCAATATTCTCACTTAACTATAAGTTCAATCTTTCGTTGATAGAGTGCGTAAGTGACACGTTTTCAACCAAATATTTTAAAAATTAATTATATTTCAATTTTATTTATTATTTATAGTTCATTTAAAAATACAACATTTAAGTGTATTATTTTGAATATAATATTATACATTGGATATAATATTGTAATTTTTTATTTAGAATTTCTATAATATATAGTATATATTATAATATGATTATTTTTATTATAATCATTTCTGTCAAAGATAAATTATTATAAGTTATTTTTACAATTTAATATTTTATAACAGAAATAAACCATTAAAATTCCATAGAAATAAAACCATTTAAATTCATGAAATATTTAAAACAATTTATTATATATCTTAATTTTTTTATTAAAATGAACTGTGAAAAATAGTATGAAAAATAATAAATTATGATAAGGTAGAAAATATGTAAAACAAAAGTATAAAACATAAATAATATTTTTTTTATTAGAATGAAACAAAATATTTCATATTCAAAGTATATATAATATAAATATATAATATAATTGTGATTTATGTATTTTACATATAATATGGCATTACATATAATAGATTTCTTGATATTCTTTTTTCGTCTGTTATCTACAATTTTTAATTGTTATTGTTGATATTTTGTTATTCACGATATAACTATCGATCATTTAGTTATTGACCGGAAGTAGAATGTACATATCAAATGTACATAAGAAAACATTATATGACATCTTTATTAAAAATAACTATATACTATTGATATATATATAATTCATTATATTATATTTTACAATATTATATTTATAATATTATATTTTTAAAATTAAAATTTTAATTAATTTTAAAAATTTTTATTAATATCTATTATTTTACATATTCTCATAACAAATCAATTATAAATTATTTATTAACGAATCATACGTTTCTACAATATTAATTACATTAATCTTTATATATATCTTTAGATATACATACTTTGCTTGAAAATATTTTCAAGATAATCTTTGAACTTTAAAATTTAATTATTTTTCTTTATGATAAAGTTAATTTTAAAATCTTTCGATACATGTAAGTATTATTATATTTATTTATGTATTATAAAAATATATTATTTATTTTGACTTTAAGTTTTTTTTTCAATTTATCAATATGATCAAATTTTATTTATAAATAGATATTAATCTTTTACTTGTTACAAAATCTTTTATAATTATTTTAGTTATATTATTATTATTATTATTATTATTATTATTATTATTATTATATTATTGTATATTATTCTTTTTTAATTATTCTATTTAGCAAATTTCCAAATTTAAATTTATATTTAAATTCATAATAGAGATATTCAAACTAAATATATAATATTTTTTATTATAGTTTTATTATTTAATATATTATACTATATATATTCTCATACAATTTTTAATTAATGTATCAATATTGATTTTGCATTGACATTTCGAAAAATTTCAAGATAAAATTTTTATATCAAAGAGTGAACTTTTTAAATATTTATTTTTGATAATTTATATAAATGAAAACATTTAATCATCTAACTTTTTTCCCAGTAATCATTCACGAATTTCACTAAAAGATTAATTCAAAATTATTAAAAAATTTTATTTTACATTTCATTTTAAATTATTTTTATTCCATATATCATTTCGTTTGCATATTTAAATACAATATGGAGAAAAATTATTTCATAAAATATTATATGTGGCAAAGAAAGTCAGGTAGTATAGTATATACTTCTACAGATACATTAATGTATCAAAATTATATATAATAAAAGATTTAAAAAATGCCATAGTATCCATATATATTTGACGGCTTTTACACATATTTTACTTAATGTCTACGTGGGTGTGAACGCACTCTTGTTACTTCGAACGAATCGCTCCAATTAAACCGTGATGCGCATGTTGATGAGTTTAATTAATTTTAGAAGATCTCCCGAGAAAGAGAGTCACGAAATGACTCCATCGTTATTGAGAAGTCGGAAATATTTATCTTATAGGATACTGACATCCGTATGATAATCACAGAAAAGGGAAATTCTTCATGGATATTCCATTTTTTTATCTTCTATTTTGCATCCCTGAAAAATTTTCTACTCCGCTAAGCGGAAAAATGATGAATCGTTTAATTTTTCAAGTCCTACTAAAATCGAAAAATTCATTATGAAAAAATTTTTTCTCTGATATTTTTTTACGTTCGAATGATTTACAAAATTTCTTGATAGTGGGTCAGAACGTACTTTCTAAAAGAAAGAACCATACTACTTTTACAATTCGATCAAGCATATATATATATATATATATTTTAAACATTTTAGATTATAATAGTGCTAACTTTATCTTATATTAATAAATTAGACAAATTAAGATATTCAATGTATCTAAGATATCTTTATATCTTTCTATACATAGATACATTTTATGTGTCTGCAAAAATACTTCCAATATCTACGAAACATACATTGAGCTGTATTAAATACGTATACGCAATGGCCTTGATTCCTAAAGCCGTGAAAAGATCCCGTCGTTAGGTCAATTAAACCAAGCCACGAAGTCATTGACTTTGGATGCACGGCTAATTTCTCTTCAACTGTCTGTAATATAGCGCGTCCCAAAAAATTTTGAGTCAAAAATAATTCCCCAACAATCTTATATTTATAGCAGAATATTTTTAATTTTGGAATTATCTCCTTTCAACTACTGATTGTATAAACGATAAAAATATATTTTAACAATATATGATGCCTTCGTTTCATCTAATTAGCTCTCGTATTGATTTTCCGACGAATATAGCACATAATGTTTACCTATTGGATAATAAATAGAATAATCGAACGATTCGATACAAATCTTACGTTTCATGTTAATAAGAATTTTTTATAAATTTAGGATAATATTTAATTTTTATATTTCTACATTAATAAAATGTTACAAGTCAATTATATTTTATATTTTCTTATGATTTTTATTTTTATTTTAATAAGGTTACATTTTAAAAATTGTGAGCTATAGTGATAATTCACAATAAATTATATTTATAATTTAATTACGTTTCATTGCAAGGAGAAAAGTTACAACAAGATAGAAACAAATAATTCCATTTATAGTCATGTATATGAATGAAAACGATCAACGAATGAGTAAGATTTTAGATTATTCGACATGTTTATTCGTCAAACCTGAGACTAACGTCAATGAGATACGACAGGAAATCGAGCCACTCCCATGGCAAAGGAGCACCCAGTATCGTATGCAATTTCCAAGATTTGTACAATCACTACTTTATCATTTTTATTCCAATCTTATCGATTAAATCAATTCTTCAAATATTTTACAATAAAACGTAAAAATATAAAAAAATTCCTCAAAAAAAAAAAAAAATTAAGAGAAAGATACATTTAATTATACGAATAAAATTTTAAAAAATTCTTCCAGATACTATATTCATACGATATTCAATATTTAATCAATGAACACGATGTGAAAGAGATGTTTATGTTACACAGTTTCAATTTTATTCGAGACACATAGGTAGCATGATGTGGTCGTATCGATGAGTAATCGGAAAGCCTTCCCCGCCATTCTTCCGATGCTTGAAAATTAAGGCTATCTCCTTGCCTAAATCGGACGATAGTTGGGTTAGGTCTACTAGGTTTGTTTCTTGCATATCCCTAAAGCAAGATTCACGTGACACACGTTCGTTGAATCTATGACGAAAAGCGAGGGTGAATTTGCACGCTGGCTCGTCACTTTCAGTGCCACGTAGCAGCGCCACGGGGGTGTCCCCACCCAACCTATGGTTCTCTGTATGGGGTGAGTCATGGTACTCCCTCCCGGTTTGGGCGTGGTGGCCGTTGCAGACGTTCCTCATCGATCTCTCCACGGCTATGGTACACCATAGAGCTCACCAAGGTGGTCTTTTTAATACTAAGGCCTCGGTGTAATGAGATACATATTATTTTGAAATATTGATTTTTCGTTGAAATGAATTTAATTTTTTCTTTTCTTTCTTTTCTTTCTACGTATTTTTTTTTCTTTTGTCGTAAAATTTTAAAATAGTCGTATCACTTTTAAGATAACTTAATACAAATATATAATACAAATAATGAGAGTGGCACTTGTCATTTCTATAAAAATAAAGTAAAGTATAGGAACAATATGTACCGATATTTAATGATAAATTCAACATGAAATCTCACTGAATCATTGATACCGAAGAAACGAATTATTGCATTGTAATCGTGCTGATATATCGCATTATCTGCTATCTGTTTGTTCGAAATAATCTTGAACAAGTCACTTGTGTTTCCTTATATGGGCATGAATTCGACATAATTTTTTGTTTGTACGTAATTGTAACGAGAATGGTAATTCTGACATGTTTTATCTATCTATGTAAATTTGCATAATTTTTAAATATTAAATTATAAAAATTATAGCATCTTTAGTTATATTTTTATATTTTTCTATTTTCATTGTTAACTTAAATATTACTTATGAGTAAAATTATATTTTTCTTAAAAGCATTATGCATTAAATTTTACAGTCTTTACTTGTCTACTATTTTCAACAATTAGTTTGGCAATTAATCGTTATCTTATTGCGATAATATTATACTGTAAACTATAAAGCTATCGAAACAGTCTTATATAATGCAGAAAATTCCATTCAATATCTTGCAAATATTTTTTATGAAGTTTAAATTCTTATATTTTAAAAACTTTCCTAAGTATAAGTTTATTTTCTTTCTTTTCCAAAAGAAAAAATTAAAAAAAATAATAAATACATATCACGAGCCTTATACTCTCCTACGAAGATTCGACCACACGTGGAGCAGTTTTAAGCTACAGCTAAAATAAGTGTTTTAACATAAATGAATCAATACAAACATCAAATATAAATGCATTATCTTTTAGAAATTCCGTATAATTATGAAAGAGAAGTCTTTTAGAAGTCTTCTAAACTTCTGAATAAGTTACATATGGATATACACAACTTCGAATTCGAATGTTCTT